TAAGAACATCCGGCTGATACGCAGGTCACTTTCCTCATAATTTCAATTATGAAGCGTTTTTTTCCAGATAGTAATGACTGCAGAGAAACGAAAATTGTTCAGAGTAACAGTAAATTTCATGCTATTAACATATAGTCCTTGTAAATTTTGCCGAAAAATGAAGTGTAGACGAGTAATTCGCGAAAATCCGAGCGCGCAGCTAATTTTTCCAAGTACGCGCAACGCCGGCTCATGCTGCGTGGGGCTCAGTCGCGAGCTCCCACCCCGCCCGCCCATTACGGAGTCCCGCCGAAGTGGCCTCGCTCAGCTGACACGGCGGAGATAGGGAGTGCACGGTCTACTCTATTCAATGTCTTTGTATGGATGTCGAAAATTTTACAAGTCCAAAAATCCGATTTTTCTGCACAATCTGACAACAATGTACAGAAAATTGTTTCATTCCTTGCACCATCTGGCAATACTGTAAAATTCGATGTTGCCAAATTTTATCGATAAATAAATCATTTATACATGTGCACCGTCCGGCAACGCTGTTGCATAACCGCCATCTTGAAGGGGCAACATACACCACTGCATAACCCGCAGATTGAAGGGGCTACATAAGCCATTGCATAACCCGGAAAACGAAGGGACTACATGTAATACTTTTTACAGCGTTGCCATATAATACAATACCCGCCCCACAACACCCTAATTAAATATTTATTATTGTGCACCGTCGGGCAACGCTGTTGGATATTTACCGTTCTTTTTACTGTGCTCATATTCCCATTTTCGCCCTCCTGACCGACTGTGATTCCTAGACTGAAATATTTAACGCAGAAAAATTACAGAAAATCTTTAATATACATTTTTTCCATTTATTTTTTAGAAAGTCTAGTGATTTATTTAAATGTAAAGGACGACGGACCGGTCTTATGGGAAAAGTGGGCCCGGTTAAATCGGCTGGCGTTTTGATATGTTGTAGGTCTTAACCTACTGATCAAAAGTGTCAATGGGCATTTCTCCCTATCTCGAAGTTTTACCCCCCATTTTGGGGGTCAAAGTTGCCAATTCGGCGTATATTTGGCAGTTTTGACACCCGGGTTTATTGGTCGCCTATGAGATTCTTTGATGGTTTCTTGAGTCTTT